CGGCTAAGGCGCTGGACTCTCACACAGCCGACTGTGGTTCAAGTCCCGGAACTAGCAGCTTGCTTGGTCACTCTACCTCTCTCTCTGTCTGTCTCTGATGAGTGCCCTATAGCAAACTTTCAAATAATAATAAATCAAATAAATCAATATTTTTTTAAAGCAGAGGATACTGGAAAGTGAAGAAAATAGAGCATTAAACCCAGAATGGAGAAAAATATGATTAAGTACATGGGAGTGTGGGAGAAAAAAGATCGGCTGAAAAGATAGGAAGCATTTCCAAACTGTTTTGTTGTTGTCTTTTACTTTTGCCATAGGGTGCATGCATTTGCCAGAGAGAGACAAAGCAATAAGTCACCCCTCAGCAGGGATGGCCACGCCACAATCCCTTCTCCTCTGTTCTCCTCTTGGGATTTTAGACACACATGCACACATACCCAGCATGATTTTCAAGGGGCTGGATCCAGGACTCAAACCATGGTTGGCCATGTGGGAGTCCAGTGCCTTAACCATTACGTCACCTGCTGGCCCCCAAATAACTGCGTTCTTGACAGGAATTGTCAATGTGGGTTCTGGTTATTAGAAAGTGGGCTTCCTTGCTTAAAAAGAAATCCAGTGGGTTGCCATTATCCAACGTCATAATCCCCCATGAGGACAAAGCAAGCAACAGTGAATGTTCTCTGACCACACGCTGCACTGGGCAACAGAGAGTGTGTACACAAGACTCTCAGCTTGGGGCTGGCAGGTGGCGTGGTAGTTAAGGCACTAGACTCCCACTTGGCCGACCGTGATTTGAGTCCCAGACCCGGTGGGTTGCTTTCCCTCTCTCTCTGTGGTCAGCGCACATGCCCTATAACAAATAATAATAATAATAATAATAATAATTTTTAAAATGATTATTCAATTTGATTTATCATGATCATCGTTATGTTTTTAGGCACCAGAGAGAGCGAGAGAAAGGGAAAGTGAGAAAGCAACTCAAGCTGCCAGGTCTGGGACTTGAACCATGGTCAACCACATGGGAGTCTAGCATCTTAACCACCATGCCACATGCTGGTCTCTTTGATAATAACAATTTAATCAAATAAATATTCTTTTTTTTTAAAGAAAAGACTCCCAGGCTCCTGCAGGGGTGAGCTCGTCCTGAGGAAAAGTGTCTGTGCAGAGCTGAGGGAATTCACTCTTTGGATTCTGAGGCAGACCCAGGTGTGGCCAAGAGTGGAGACGTGTCAAAGCACAGAGAGGGGGCTAGGCCCGCTGCTGAGCAGGAGTGCTCCGGCTGGTTGAGCTGTGTGCCCTTGGAGTGAGCTCTGAAGAGTGCAAAGACCACTTTTCTCAGGGTTTCCAGGCCTGGAGGTCAGACAAGGTCAAAGGAAGGTGAATGCCAGGACCACAGCCAATTGTTCCCATCTGGCCAGGCTCCAGCTCTCTCCACACTACTAAGAGGCCAACCCTACAGGACTTACACACAGGACCTCTGTGGGCTGACTTCTAAATTGGTCAAGATCTAAAACTTTTTTTAATTGCCAGAAAGCACGTGCATTTGCCAGAGAGAGAGAGAGAGAGAGAGAGAGAGAAGGCAAGAAAGCATTCCCCAATAGAGCGTGGACACATCAAACTCCCTTCTACATTCTCATCTCAGAATTTGGGGCATGCACACATGCATGCCCAGAATGTTTTTCAAGCCACTGTGTCTGGGACTCGAACTGCAGTGGGTCATGTGGAAGTCCAGTGCCTTAACCACCATGGCACCTGTTGGTTCCATTCTTTAAACTATCTTTAAAAAAAGTTTATTCATCTGTTTGTTGTATGGGAGAGGGAGCAAATGAGAAGCAGACAGGCAGGGCAAGCAGTCTTCACGCCCATTACTCCCTTCCTTCATCAGCCAACCCTCATCATGTGCCTGGTGTGAACGTGGAGATCCTTGGAAGTGAACCCAGAACCTACCACTGTGGGTCCAGCTAGCCAACCATCTGGCCCATTCTTTTTATAGACACATTCAGGATTTAAAAAAATAATAAAAAAGAAAAAGGAAGAGAATGCATTGTTATTTTCTTAGCCTACTTCTCTTTCTGTTTGTTTTGCTTTGTTTTTTTTTTTTTTTTTAATGAGATAGTCTTCCAGGTTGATCAAGCTAGACTCTAACTCATAATCACCCTATCTCAGTCTTTTGAGCAGCCAGGAATCCAGGTGCAGGTCAGGAGTCTTCTCTTTGACCCTAAAATGATGGTTTAATGCATTTACAACTTAGGAGAACACAGATTTCAGGACTCCAACCCAATGTTTCTGAATCATGGGTTAGGCCTGAGAACTTGCATCTCTCACCTGTTCTCTGGAGAAGTAATGATGGTGATGACGGTGAAAGTCCCAGGAACACACTTTGAGTTTTACTATGTTAGTGCCACACTTTTTTGGGGGGGAGGGGAAGGTTTTTTTTTCCTATAGGGCGCATGTACTCACCAGAAAGACAGAGAGAAAGAGAGAGACAGAAAGCAAGAAATCACCTCTCAGGGGGGACGGCCATGCTGCAATCCCTTCTCCTCCATTCTCCTCTCGGGATCTTGGGCATGCACGCACCTGGCGTGAATTTAAGCCACCGGGCCCAGGACTCAAACCACGGTTGACTACATGGGAGTCCAGCAACATAGCCATTACGCCAATTGCTGGTCCCAGTGCCACACTTTTAAACACTCCAAATGAGGAGGGGACAGTGAATGGCTGATTCTCACAACAATCAATCCTTTCTGCACTGGGGCAGGTAATGGAAAGAATGAAACAACTCCCCAACCTGTTTCGTCTTCCTGGTATTGCACAGAGGGTTTGGCGAGGGGCTGACAGGATGTCCCAATGAGTTGCTTCCCAATATAAAAGGGGTTCTGCAATGCCAGCTGTTTGAGGTGCCTCAGACTTTCAACACTCCCAGCCCTTGGCAAAGGGTGAATCAATGTTTCACAGGTGCTTACAGTGGAGAATAAGGAGACACTAGTACAGACATCAAGAAGGCTCAGCTGGTGGAGAACAAGGAGACACTAGTACAGACCTCAAGAAGGCTCAGCTGGTGGAGAACAAGGAGACACTAGTACAGACCTCAAGAAGGCTCAGCTGGTGGAGAATGAGGAGACACTAATAAAGATATCAAGAAGGCTCAGCTGTCCAGACCTTGCATGTCACTCTCATTGTTTACTGAAAAAAATCAAATGACCTTTAAAATGGGAACCCTCTGCTTTTGAGGTAGTCTCCAAACACAAGATATTACAGTCTCGAATTCAAATGGCCAAGGTGGTGATAGCGTTTTCTGTGTGTGTGTGTGTGTGTGTGTGTGTGTGTGTACAGGGTCATCAGAAAAGTCATGAAGTAGTTTTCTATGCCTACATGACTTTTTCAACAACCTAATGTTTTTGTTTTTGTTTCATTATAGGGCACGTATGCTCGCTGAACAAACAGAAATACAGAGAGAGGGAAAGTGAGAAAGCATTCCTCAGTGGGGAATGGCTATACCACAATCCCTTCTCCTCCATCTCTCCTTTTGGGATTTTGGCTATGCACACAGACATGCCCAGCATGTTTCTCAAACCACTGGGTCCAGGAATTTAACTGAGCACACACACCATGTGGCAAATAAAAAATAAAAAAAAAAAAGAAAGAACATTTGGAATCCCGGAAGATGTTAGAGGGCTAGCTTCATGCTTCCTTATTTGAAAGGATAGTGAGAATACCATGGAGAATCCTTGAAGACATGTCTAAGAACGTGGAGGTCAAGCACATCCCTGTTGAAGACTCTCAAGAAGTCAATGTACATGCCCAATTATGCCCTGGAGGTCAGCAAAAACCAGGAATGCGTCGAGGCTCTTCATGGAAAATGGACTCAACAATGAGTGTCATCTACCTGCATAGCTGAATATCTCCCCCCGGTACGTGCCAGAGCTAAGCAATGTTATCACTGCTACCCCCCCCTTGCCAATTTCTCCTCGCCTCTGGGACCAGAAACTCCCAAAAGAAGCTGCCATTGTGTTTAAGGCACTAGATTCCCACAGGGCCAACCACAGTTCAAGTACTATACCGAGAGCCTTGAAAAACACCATGCACGCGTGCCCAAAAATCCCAAGAAGAGAATGGAAGAGAGGGGATTGCACCCCTGGTGGGGGTGGTTTCTCACTTTCTCTCTCTGTCTCTCTTTCTCTCACCTCTGTGGAGAACACAGACATCCTGTAGCAAACATCTCTAAAATAAATAAATGAGTGAAAACATTATTTAAAAAAGAAAATGACTAAAAGCAGAGACATCTCTCTCAAATGCCAGAAAAATAACACCTGTCACATCATTCATGCGGACCATCTGATGCAAGAGAGTGTTCCGACTCGGTCGTCTAGACAGCTGCACCTATGTGTTTTCCTTTTGTTTTTTTTAAGTTTTTCACGCTGACGAGAGAGCCGTGTATCCGCATATTTGCTAAACTACATACTGCCATAGTTTCTGTACGTACAAACACCAGTTACAATCGTTTTTATTCCACTTTATTAGAAGTATGTCTTCAGCAAGCTGTCGGCAAGTGTGCTAAAACCCACAACAGTTGAAGATCTATGTTCTTATAGAAAGAAATCCAAAATGTACAAAATTTAACTCTAAAAGGAAGGAGCAGTTACTGCCCTGCAAGATTTTTTTTTTAAATTATTTATTTATTTTTATTTGTTATTATTAGTATTAGATTTTAGTTCACTACAGGACACGTGCGCTCACCAGAGAGAGACAGAGAAAGTGAGAAAGCAAACCGCCAGGTCCGGGACTCAAACCACAGTCAGCCACGTGGGAGTCCAGCGCCTTAACCACCATGCCACCTGCCGGCCCTATCATTTTTTTTAAATGAAAAACTGCATAGAAATGCAATTTAAAACCGCAAACTAAAATTTATATAAGTCAAGATAAAAAGGTCAGTGAACATTTGGGAGAATTCCGACCCAAAACACCTGCTCCCCAAAAACACACCCTCAAACTATCCACAGTACCTTTGTCGTTCAAGGTTTCTTCCTTGATTCTTTGGACGACATGGTGGGCTTTACTCTCGTTGTTCCCAGCTAAGAGGAGAAGAGAGAGGGTAAAATGATTAGTGAAGTCATCTACCAGCAGGTAACTCTCGTTTTGCAGGAGGTAACAGCGACTTCTAAATGAAGATATGACGGTCACCCCTTTCAGACCACCATTAAATTTCACCATCAGGGGACCAGCAGTTAGCATAGTGGCTATGTGGCTGGACTCCCATATAGTTGACCGCGGTTCGAGTCCTGGACACAGTTGCTTAAACTCACACCGGGCGCGTGTGCGTGCGTGCCCAAGATCCCGAGAGGAGAACGGAGGAGAAGGGATTGCGGTGTGGCCATCTCCCCTGGGGGTGATTTCTTGCTTTCTGTCTCTCTCTGTCTTTCTGGCGAGTGCATGCACCCTATAGCAAAAACCTCTCCAAACAAACAAACAAAATTCACCACCAGACCTACTTGGGCTGAGTGAAGCTATCTATTTGAGATGCATTTTCTCCAGCCTGAAAAAAGGCATAACTACACCTGACATTTTACTTCTAAATCACGACAGGAACACGAGGCACCTGGTGGCTGAATTCGCACGTGAAAGCCGAGAATAGCCTTGGTGTAAATAAAAACCGTGCTCGGAAATGTCAGAAGAGAAACAGAACTTTCTCAGGAACAATTAGTCTACATGAAACCCCTCTTTTTTATTTTTAGTTTTTCTTAGTTATTGCTCTAAGGCGCAAGGGCTCACAAAGGAGAGAGACAGAGAGAAGGTGAGAGAGTGAGGAATCAGCCCCCCAGGGGGGATGGCCACACCGCAATCCCTTCTCCTTCGTTCTCTTCCTGGGATATTGGGCACGCACGCACACGCACTTCGGATGATTTTCAAGCCACTGGATCTGGGACTCGAACCGCACACTGAGCCATGTAGGATCCAACTACTCTAATCTCCATGCTGTCAGCTGGCCCAGGCACTATTTATTTATTTATTTATTTATTTATTATCATTATTTTTCAATTTTGACCAGAGAGAGAGAGAGAGCAAGAGCGAGAAAGAGCAAGCCGCCAGGTCTGGGATTTGAACTGCAGTTGTCCACGTGGGAGTCCAGCCCTTTTAACCAGCACTCCACCTGTTGGCCCCACACTCTTTTTAAAAGTTTATTTACTTCCTAAGAGAGAAACAGAGCGTAGGTGAGAAAGAGCGAGGGTGGCAGCCGGACAGGGCCTCGTCGCATGGTGACCCCCTCCGCTCAGTCCTGCAGCTAGGTGGGACCTTGCACAAAGACGCAACTAGTCTGTGTCAGGGCGACCCTGGAGCCAACTGCGTGGTCAGCCACGCGGCTTCCAGCCCTGCAGGTCACCCTGGGCCCGGGCGGGGCCGGCAGCTGTCACGGTAAGGTGCATCTGAGAGGCTCTGGTTCAGGGAGAGGCAGTTGGAAAACGCTGCCTTTCTGTGGACTGTCCCTCATCACAGCGAGGCCCGAAGTCACCTCTCGCCCTCTTTCCAGGAGAGACCAAGCCCCGTCACGCCTGTCTCGGTGACTCACAGCAGGGTTTTGACATCACGCAGATAAAATCTAGCACCCAAATAGCACGAGCTTGGGCGTCCACCTGCTGGGTGCCTGGAGAGCTCAAAGGTGTCTCCAGGACGCCTGCTCCAAACACCCAGCCCTGCTGGGGCAGGCACCAGAGGGCGGGGCCGGGACGCACCTCCGCGCACCCGGGCCAAGCCAACAGCCAGGCTCTTTCTAGTACAGAGCCGCGCTGAGGTTGCCACGGAACGGGCTCCCCAGACAACCCTCGTCCTCGGCATTTCTCAACACCCTTTGAACACACCTCAGTTAATGCCCCACATCCCTTTTTTTCCTTTTGGAGAGATGTTTGCTATGGGGTGTGTGCGTTCTCCAGAGAGACAGAGAGAGACAAAGCCAGAAATCACCCTCCAAGGGGCATGGCCATGCTGCAATCCTTTCTCCTCCATTCTCCTCTTGGGATTTTGGGCACACACACACACACACACACACACACACACGCGGTGAGTTTAAAGGTGTCGGGCTCAAGCCTCCAACTGCAGTTGACTATGTAAGAGTCCAGCACCTTAACCACGATGCCACCTCATATTGGTTTTGTGTTTTTTTTGAAGAGGTTTTTGCTATAGGGCGTGTGCACTCGCCAGACAGACAGAGAGAGACAGAGAGACAGAAAGCGAGAAATCACTCCCTAGGGGGGATGGCCATGCTGCAATCCCTTCTCCTCTATTCTCCTCTCGGGATCTTGGGCACGCACGCACACGTGCGTCCCGGGTCCAGGACTCAAACTGCGGTCGACTACATGGGAGTCCAGCGACATAGCCATTACGCCAACTGCTGGTCCCGACCTGGTATTTTTTTAAGAGAGAGACTTTTGCTATAGGGCACATGCACTCACCTGAACGACAGAAAGCGAGAAATCACCCTCCAGGGGGATGGCCATGCCATAATCCTTTCTCCTCCACTCTCCTCTTGGGATGTTGAGCATGCACGCACACCCATGGGGCATGAGTTTGAAGCTGCCGGGTCCGGGACTCGAACCGCAATCGACCCCGGGGGAGGCGAGCACCTTAACCACCACGCCACCTGCTGGCCCCTTACTTTCTACCTCCTAAGGAATGAGGCAGCAGCCCCGCTGCGTAATTTGTTGCCTCGGGGTAGCTTATTCTGTACCCCAGCTAAAGGGCCCTCCTCTTAAAAAGCAGGAGGGGTGAGAAATGGAAGGAAAATGTGATTTCCTGTGAGGCTCTGTCTCTCGGAGTGTGTCTCTCTTCTATCTCTCTTACTCGTGGAAAAAAATTTGAAAATAAACTTAAGAGAAAAAGGGTCACCGTGTGTGTGTGGGTGCCCAAAATCCTGAGAGGAGAAAGGAGAAGGGATTATGGTGTGGCCATCTTCCCTGGAGGGTGATTTCTCGCTCTCTGTGTCTCTGTCTCTCCAGCAAGCACACACATCCTATAGCAAAAGCCTCTCTCTAAAAAACAATAAATCAATAAAATAAGTGTTGGGCCGGCCGGTGGCATGGGGGATAAGGTGGCTGGATCTACATAACCGACCCTGTGGTGCGAGCTCCGACCTGGCAGGTTGAAAACCAGTCTGGGCGCATGTGAGTGTGTGTCCGAAATTCCAGGAGGAGAATGGAGGGGGAAGGATTTTAGCAGCCAGCTCCCCTAAGGGGTCAGTTCTCACTTTCCCTTTCTTGGTCTCTGTGTATCTGTCTCTCATTGTCCCTATAGCAAAAATGAAAACCTTTTTTTAAAAAAGAAGTGTCTTCAGGAGCTGGCAGGGGGCGTGGTGGTTAAGGCGCTGGACTTCCACACGGTCAACTGTGGTTTGAGTCCCGGACCTGCCGGCTTGGGTCAACTTTGGTTTGAGTCCCGGCCCTGCCGGCTTGCTTTCTCACTTTCTCTCTCTCTCTCTGTCTCTCTCTCACAGACACACACACACACTCTGTCACTCTCTGGTCAATTAAAATAAAGTTAAATAAAATAATTCTTAAAAACAAACAAGAAAGAAAGAAAACCGTGCCTTCAGCAAGGAGTTAAAATATATATGATGGAGTAGAAGCCGTGAAATTAATGAGACGGGAAATGGCTTCAGCGCCGGCTGGAGACATCTCCAGTAAATACTGCAAAGCGATTCCTTTGGGGAGGAATAAAAGGAATATCTAAATTGCTCCCTCCTTGAAGGAGTTCAAAGTGGCAGACTTCAAACGCAGCAGACTGCAAAGGTCACTCTCACGTCTGGCTTCCTTGGAGAAACAGAACCTCACGCAGAGCGTAGGTCCGGCTCTGAGAGTCTTTGCTTCGGGGAGGTAGGGGTCGGCGGGGCTGGCGGGAACGCCAACCAGGGGCCCTCTGAGAACTACACCCATCTCAGAACGTTCTAGGCTTCAAAGCCAAAAGAGGAAGAAAGAAAATTCACAGTAAAGGTGGTCTGTGTTTACAGGGACCAGGGAGAAAGCTCAACATGGCCGGGTCTGGGATTCGTGTCCCGGGACTCATGGGAGCTGCTGCACACAGAGGTGCCCGCGACTCAGGCCGGCCGAGGCTGGGAGCCCATCACTGCATGAAAACCCTGCTGGGGTACCTAAGTCTCTCTCTCTCTGCCTGTCTCTTTCTATCTCTCATGAAATCAAGCTGTTTAAAAAGAAAAGCATGGGGAACCAGCAGCTGATGTAATGGGTACATCGCTGGACTCCCACGTAGTCAACTGCAAGTTCGAGTCCTCGTCCCGGTGGCTTAAACTCACGCTGGGCGCGTGTGCATGCATGCCCAAGATCCCGAGAGGAGAAGGGATTGTGGCGTGGTCATCCCCCCAGGGGGCAATTTTTCACTTTCTGACTCTCTGTCTCTCTCTGTCTTTCTGGCGAGGGCACGTGCCCTATCGCAAAAACCTCTCCAAAAAAACAAATGTTATGTCCATGCGCTCATACCCTTTGCTCTAAGTATGACATATTGTGCCAGCCATTCCACTTCCAGGGCAGGGGTGGCCGTGATGAGCAAGGCCTGAGAAAATATGGGTTATCTGGCTCATTCCAGAAAAGGCTTACCAACCTCGGGGTAAACCTGCCGTGACTCGTCCTTCTCAGCTGGATTGGTCTGAGAAGTAGTTCATGATGGGTAAAGTCTTTTTACAAGCAAAATGAGAAATAGTGACTGATTGTTTAAAAAAAATGATAATTGGAATAATCATAATACTGATTGGGAAAAACATTGAAAAGCTACTGAATGTTGAAGCGGGGAGATGAATGTGTCTGTATTGACTGACATGCACGGCATTCCCTTTTGAAAAAGCAATGTAATACACTGTAAAGTTGTATGCAATCCAGTGTAATATAAAGAAGATTATGATGATAATAAAAATTTAAAAATTAAAAATTAAAAAAAAATCTAAAAAAAGAACAGAGGGACCCAGGAACGGATGTCCTTGTCATCACGTTGATGTCTGTAGACGGGCCCGGGTCACAATCGGGGTTCTCCGATTATTTTTTACAGATTAGTAGCTTTGAAATAAAATCGGAAG